CGAGGAGGTATTCACTGAAATTTGAAAATTCGAAATTTTTGAAAAAGTATCAGGAGAGCATGAAAATCGAGGAGGTATTCACTGAAATTTGAAAAATTCGAAATTTTCAAAAAAGTATCAGAGCAGCATAAAAATGGAGGAGGTATTCACTGAAATTGAAAAATTCGAAATTTTCAAAAAAGTATCAGGAGAGCATGAAAATCGAGGAGGTATTCACTGAATTTGAAAAATTTGAAATTTTCAAAAAAGTATCAGGGGAGCATGAAAATCGAGGAGGTATTCACTGAATTTGAAAAATTTGAAATTTTCAAAAAAGTATCAGGAGAGCATGAAAATCGAGGAGGTATTTACTAAAATTTTAAAAATTCGAAATTGTTCGAAAAGTACCAGGGGAGCATTAAAATCGAGGAGGTATTCACTGAAATTGAAAAATTTGAAATTGTCACAAAATAAAATTCACCCAGACGTTTAGTCCCTCTGACAGCGGGACCGCTACTGAGGCAGTTACCGAGTCGGCTGACGGGCAGACCCCCTACCATTGGGTGCGGCCCCCTCTTTCACTTGGGGTGAGGGCAGTGGGTGAGGGACTCCCCCAGAACTGAGCCGCTCAGTGGGGGGTTTGAGGGACCCTACCGGCATTGAAAGAGGGGGAATTGAAAGAGGGGGTATTGAAAGAGGGGGTATTGAAAGAGGGGGTCACACACAATGGTGGGGGGTCTGCCCGTCAGCCGACTCGGTAACTGCCTTCTGCCTCAGTAGCGGTCCCGCTGTCAGAGGGACCACACGTCTGGGTGAATATTATTTTTTGACAATTTCAAATTTTTCAATTTCAGTGAATACCTCCTCGATTTTCATGCTCCCCTGATACTTTTCGAACAATTTCAAATTTTTCAAATTTTAGTGAATACCTCCTCGATTTGTATGTTCTCCCGATACTTTTTGAACTAAGATATCTGAGTTTCTACTCAATTCTATCGGGAATTCGTCGTAATTTCCTCCTTTAAATAATTTTATGAGAAAAGTTTGAAGATTCAATTTACAGGTTTATTATCAAAAACAAATTACATAGGTTTACTTAATTTGTCGGCATTTACTTTGATTCTGCAATAATTTCAGGTATCTAAAATTCAGTAGAAAAAATAGCCGAGGAAAATTGTGTAGGCAGCATCATATAAAATAATTATTAACAGATTCATTTCAGTTATGAAGAAATTTAGTTTCTGTAGAATATCTTGGATACAACGTACGAAATACGTCATCTATTCTCCTTCGATGGCTTTTCCTTTCCTTCCTCCAGGGTTTCCTCGCTTTTACTCTTTCTCTTCTGTTGATAACTGAGACTGGCCTTATCAAAGTCCATCATCATGACCCCCAGGTCTCCACTATATCGATTCTTGGCGATTTGCAGATACTTTTTCCCTCTGACACTCGTCAATCTCTTATCCTGAATAATAAGAATATTATCAGCCTCCTGGCTGGCTTTAGCTCCTCCAAATATCGAGGCAGTTGTCAATTCTTCCTCAACGCGTTCCTTCCTCGGGTGAATAACTAAAGTAACGTGACAATTATTTTTCGTAGCGAAAGAACGAAACGCTGAAACGATGAGATCCTGCCTCCAGTACCTATCAAGATGTTTCGAAGTCTCGGTCATTCCCATCATGAATTGTACGTTATCGATGATAACGTGTGCTATGTCGTGGACATAAGTTGCATGTTCCACTGCCTCCATCACAACTGTTAAGCTCTGCTGGCCGTGAAATGTCATAAAATATATCGGCAACTTCTCAAAGGTATCGGCATACGTATTGAAATTCTGGAGATTCTCTTCCAGCGAGACCCCAGCCATTTGCTGGAGCATTGTTCTCGCTAATCTCGTATTTCTGATTTCAAAACTACCCCAGAGAGTGTTGACACCTTGCATCGCAAGATCCAGTGAGTACTCGCTGATGAAAGTTGTTTTTCCTGAACCTGATGACAATAATTGTCATTAACTTCCATGAATTCTTGAGATTCCAATTATTTGGGATTATATAAAAAAATACTCACCTGTTGGACCAGTTAGAACCGTAAATTCCCCACGTCTGTGGCCTTTCAGAATTCTATTCAATGCTGGATACCTGTTCCACTTGACTCCCTGGACTTTATCGATGTTCTGGAGATCACTCAAAATATCTTCCCTCAAGGTGTGAAAGGTCGTGATACTCTTGTGCCAAATGGGCTGTGCCTCTTGGATGATGTTCTTCAAATTGTATCCTCTGACAGCAGCGACCTTGGGCCGAGGTTGATGATTGGTTGGTCTCACGAAGAAGCACCTCTTCTCGTTCAACTTCTTCGCAAAATGTCTCGCTGAGTCCCAACTCGTGGTGTCATTATCAAACCAGAGGATTAATTTTTTGAATGGTTCCAGAATGGGTAGAACTTGCAGGGGCAAGTGCTGGAGGCCATAAGGAAGACATACCACGGTATTGGCGGATTTTTCTGCTACCAGAGCCAACAAATCCTCAACCGACGGCACCACAACTGCTACACCATCAATTTTTGCTTTCTTCTCTTTGTAGATAATCAAACCATTGGCATTGACATTTGGCACGGTTTTCTCATTGAGCGTGGAACTGATTGATAAACATTTGTATCCAGCAATTTTATTTCCAATCGTCATCAGCGGAAAATAAAAAGATGATGAGGACTTCTGGTAATAACAATGCAGTCCGCTCATCTGACTTTGCATCACTTTTGGAAAGGCATAATTCGTGAGTAAATCGTTATAAATATTCTCGGATAGTTCAGAAATATTCTGGCATGATTCAATTAAATTCAACCATTTTTCGGTGAAGTCGTCTTCAATGTGAAGAGTTTGTTTTACTGTTTTCATATCAACAGGCTTTGCTGATTTCTTTGGTCCAATTACGTGGGATAAAATATCCCACGACCCAGAGTGTCTGCATTTTGGACAAACGAACAAACCTACAACATGAAAGATTATTCTGATTCCAGATTAACTAACAATCTTCTCATCTGATTAACCACTTAAAAATTTTAATTGCCAATTTTTTGTTTCAGAAATGCTAAAGAATTCTCACGAAATGTAATTCTGGTGTTTCAAACTCCCAAATATTTAGTAATAATAATATTTATTAATCGTAATGATTATCTTTGAATTTAAAATATTTTCTTACCTGTCGTTTTATTTATGTACAACTTTGCATCATTTTGTTTACAATAACCACAAATTGGACAGTTAATAACAATGCAAGCATGTCCTTCTTGGAAATTAACATTATTCTGTCTCAAAATAGTTCTTATACTTCCAGATGAGGTAGAAGACAACCCGGCATTCACTTCATTATGAAAATCTCGAAATTTAACTCGATGTTTCCACTTAAAATATCGCTGATGAGTGACACAACACCTCCGAACAAGTTTTAACAACATCATTCAATCCATAACAAGTACTATCGTAACCCGTCAATTATTACTATTGCAATAGTAATTATCTCAATTATTCTTGGTAAACAACAATCAACAGTTAAACATGTGTCGAACCACGTGGAAAGTACGAGGATTGAGCAACAGCTGATCAAAAAAGCGATAACAACAATTTCCGCATTATCAACAGAAGATCTATTGAAAAAGATGAAATAATTTTTTTATCGACGGAGAGGGAGTGGGAAAGGGATTGTTAATGATAATTTATCCACTGATAGTGCGGAAAAATTCGAATTCAGTGGAAAAGGTACTCGTGGGGTCAGAAAATCAGAGGAATTCGATTTTTCGCTTTATCTTGGACTTTATCTTGGATAATTACAGAAAAACGTTCCGAGGAGTTGACTGTTTTATTGTGGCCTTGGAGGATATGCCCCTGTCAGGAACTGATTCAGCAATGGGGAGATTCAGAGCCGTCAGATACACCTCCTCCTTGGGGTAAAACCACCCATCACCGGGGATCCTCCCTGGGAAGTCTCTAGAGGTGAGTTTTAGACAATGGCAATGCCCCTCGTCATCCCCAGTGGCAAGATTAACCCCAAGTACTAAGTATAATTGCCCTGTACATCCGGGTAATTAGAGGGGAGGAATGACTTACTCTATGATAGCTTGAGGTTCTGCAACATTCTCTTTTATTATCTCAATTCACTAGAAAGATTTAAAATGATACTTTAATAATTAATATCTTTAATAGTAATTCAATTAATAGTTATTAAAAATAGCATTTATTATGGACAATTGACTGGAAAGAATGAAACTCATACGTCTTCTTTTTTTATTTGTTTTTTATTTCTTGAAGAAGAAATAATGGCGAATTCATTGGATAATTTATATTTTATTGAAGAGTAAAGTTGCAAGGAAAAAAAAACTTTTGTTGATTGAATTTATTGGAGAAAAACCAATAGCTTCCAGATTTGTTAATTGTCTTTCGATTCTGAAATTTAAGTTACTAATTAATTGATTATGTAATTAATCATTCAATTTGACAATTAAATTCTTTTGTTTTGCGAAATTCCCAACTCATACGTTCGAAAATTTCACGTCAATATGAAGTAGATGATTGATATATTAATTTATGAATTCTATATCAATTTAATATAGTTTATATTAATTTGGGTTTTAATTTTTCGATAACATTCACTAGAGTTTAGTTGTCAAAAAGATTTCGAGTGGTTGTTACCGTGTGGAATAGAGTCACCCCAATCAAAAAATTCCAATTCCACCCCGCGTTATTATCATTCTGATAGCGAAGGGTGGATCTCTCAAAACACCACCAAAAGAAACATTTCATTATTTTTGGTATCTCAACGGGTTGTACGTGATCCGGAGTATCCGTTCATCTCATTTTTTCCACTCTCTCGTCACTCCAATTCCCCTTTTTCCCGACATTTTTAGGACGAGATGTGTGGGATGAAAGGAAATTTCCCACGACAAAAGAAATATTTCGATAACGAATTTGTACGTATCTATTATCATCACTTTTATCTCGAAATGTTAGTAGGTGTCAAAGGGGATTGATGAGGAGCATCGCCAGGAGTAAATCGGGGAGGAGTTGCAGACGGAGAAGACACATCGGGATGAACTGCAGGAGAACGGAAAGAATTGTAAACGAGGGTGGGAGGGCTGGTGAGCGTCGCGACGCCTCGACCCTCTCAGTCTCCGCCCAACCGGCGTCGAGGATGCAGTGGTCTCGTGGATGGTGATGTAAGTGAAGTCTCTCGTTATCCGAAAAAAAAATTTCCCGCGGTTTCCCGACGAGTCGAGGAAATTAATTCGTTCATTTCTTTTTTTTTTTCGTCATTTAATATCGGACATCCAATAGTGCGAATTCCTGGTGGAACATCCGGTGCTCGGGGTTGTTCCCTCGTGGAGGAGTTCTCTCGGTGTTTGTCGAGGGTTTATTTGCACCGAGTGAAGGACTAATGGAGGGGGTGGGGCTGATACGGTCCGGTGACTTGTGAGTGCTATTCCAAGTTGTTGTCAAAGTGGCGGGTTGAGAATTCGTGGAAGATTACAGGGGGATATCGGTTTCTCTGGAGGCTTTAAGAAGACAGTCAAGATCAGTCGCGTCAAAGCGATGTCGTCAACTAAAGGTATGATTAATTGGTGTAATTATTGGAATTATTGGAATTAGTGGAATTGTGGAATTGTGGAATGCAATAATGGAGAATGGCTATATTTGATAAATTCTCAACGTGAGTCTGGATTTTGGAGGTAGAACGATCCCCTCGAGTTATTTACACGAGCTCGATGGATCATTTCTTTTTTAGATATCTATATTTTCCAACGGCCAGATGTCTATTGCCATTTGGGATTAGCACGGCTACTGGAATGGATTGGGGTCGATCCGGGTAATATCACCTGGGTCTACATTTCAAGTCCGTTATTTGGCAAGTTTAATGAACTTTTTGGAAATTTTTTCGGAAGCGGAAGGTACGGGTCGCGCGCGGAGACGGAATTATTTTTGTTTGTAGAATATTTTTTTTTTCGTGTCTATTATTGTGTGGAACAGCTGCTGAGGAATTTTCTATGTTGTTGAATTTTAAAGTCAACTTGGATTTACATTGAATTGGTTCTCAGGGTGTATTCATATTGGAAATCCCATAAAATGCATAAAAAACAGTTTTTCATGTGCGTTCAATGTGATTTTTAGTGCATCGTGAACTGAAGAAAAAAAAAACTGGAGTTTTGATATTTTTTCGTGATTTCCACTGGCCGGTGGGGATAGGATTGATATTTTATTGGACACTTGAAAAATTATTTCGTCGTTGTCAGTATTTAAAAAATTAATCGTGACAGGGGATTTTTTGGTTTTCTTTGAGACTTGCTGTTTTTTTTTTAATAATGGTGATTTTTTTTCATTTCGGGCTTACGGGAAAATTTATCGCCGATATTTTACGGGCAATTGTCGAAAATTGTGAGTGGTTTTTAATTTTTAATTGTGATTGATACTCCCTCTTTTAATGTTTCATTTCTTTTTATCAAGTGCTATTTTCATTTGAGCAAACGAATTGCGCATAATTCATTGCGCACACTTGATAAGAATTTAATAATGAATTTTCGTTGTTTTTAATTCTCTGGGTGGGATTTCCGCTCAATAAAAAGCGATTGAATCTCATTAACTTTTTAATTGGAAAACCTTAATATTTTGGATTCATTTGGGTTTAAAATTGTCTTCATTGAGTGGTGCATGAACTAGGTACTACCTAAAATCAATATCAATTAAAAATTGATTCAAAATCTGTCTCCTAATACTCCTAATTTATGAACAATTTTTATTTTAAATCATTTCATTATTCATTCTGAATCAATAATTGATTTATTTACGCAAATTATTGGATTTTTTATCAAAATTACACAACGAAAAATATTACAGATAAAAATATTTCCACAACACCCACATTATTTCAAAATATTCCAATTACAGAGAAAAAAAAATAATTACCAATTACCCCCGAAATTTCACGAAATTTCACCACGACTGGCCTTCAATATACCAATAATTTTTTAATATTTCGAGAAGCAATATTATTATTCAATAAAATATCGAGCTGTCACCAATAATTATTTGCGTTAAAATTTTAATGAAAATTGTCCAATGAAATTGTGAAAATTCCCGGAATAATTTCAATTTATTTAAATTGTTAAATTGAAATACGGAAATATGTCGAATGCACAGTTGAGAGGAGTATTTAAATGTTTAATCTCTTCCGTCCCATCGTCGGTATCTCTCCGGGATTTGTCTGAGAATCGATAGCAGTCGAAAATGTTGTGTTATGAAAACAATACCCTGAGTAATACAATGGGAAAATACGAGTAGGAAAATACACGCGACGACTGAGCGGTGGAACACAACTGCAATCAGTTTCGCGAGCCATTTTCGATATTCCCATGGAAGGGGTTGATATTCACCCCATCTGTTATATACACTCGCTCCTCATCCCCGGGCTGTCATCCACTGCAATGCGACTCGAATTTATATCACTTCATTGTTTTATACGCAAGTTTTCGGTTGTTTTAGTCGATGAAGTTATTAATTTCATAAAGTTTATCATCCACTGGGATGAACAGCTCGCGCCCATCTCGTGGACCCAATTGTTAATGAGATATTATCATTTTCAATCCATCCATTCATTTAATATTGCGATTTATAACAAGACTGTTATTAATATTTTTTTATTCATGACTAGTATTTATTTTTTTATCTTGGTTTAATGGTAATGTTAAAAAGAGATTAAAATACTTGAAATATTAATAATTATAGAAAAAGTAATTTTTAGGGATTCAGGATTTTTTGGGGGACAAAATGAAAAAGGGAATGCTTGTCTAGTGCCGGAAAATGAAAACTTTTTTTTTCTCTCTCCGATGGAAAATAGTTCTGACTCGTTGGGCAATCATTCGTTACGAATTTCGGATGGAGTCGATGGGAATAGTTTGCGGATTGGTGGAGGTGTTGGAGGCAATCTCAGGGATTCGTTTGATTATATCCGTTTTTCCACGAAGCGCAGTCGTTTCATATGCGAAAATGGCAAACTGCTCCATCAAACAAGTTACTCCGACAGTGGGAATTTAAACAGTCCATAAATTCATGTAAAGTACTTCAATTTCAAACCGCGGAATATTCTTTAACTGTACAGACTCCTCGAGATATTGATTCCCATGAAAAATAGAATTTCTGGGAAATATTTAGAGATTAAAAAACAATAAATAACACAAACGGCAATTTTCACGAAAAAATATCGATCCGCGAAAATCGATTTAAAAATCGATCCGACCGATTGATCGATCCGCGAAAATCGATTTAAAAAATCGACTTTATCGAGTCGAATGAAAAAAAACGGAGTTTGCGAAATTGGCTGATTGCGAGGGAAGAAATTCATTCAAAAAAATGTATAAAATCGAAATAAATCGAACTTGACAGTTATTTCGATGTGAATTGATCCGCAAGCCTATAAATTCCAGAAAAAAAAATTCGAAAAACCCTAGGAATATCGGGACACGCCTCAAAACTGATAAGACAAGAGTGATGCACACGGGAGGAAACTTTATCGGAGGATAGCATCTGCGAGGGGTTTGTCCAAGTGGTGGGAACAAAAGATGACGAGAAACTTTTGGGAAAAGAGAGTCAAGCGGGACTTGGGAGCCACTTGTCGTGGTATACGTCGGTTTATTTGCATGAAATCGAACCAGGTCGAATTCGGTTCAACCCTCAACCACTGTAATGCCGACTAACAGTGAATTTCCACCTCCTGTACACCATGTGCATCCAGCAACTCGATATATCCCCAAATTTGCTGATGGATCCTGGGTGAAAACCTCGAGTGTGAACTGGTACACGTGAGCACTCGGAATTCATACGGGTATTGAAATTTCGGGACAGACTCAACCGTTTGTTTGATTATCCTGTGGCTTCAACAAATAATCGAATTAACTGCTCCATGGAAATTCCCTGATAAATGCGGGGGCTCCCATGTTGAATTATTCAATCGTCTGAACGGTGAGCGAAATTCTATGCATATTTTACGATTTGTCATCAAATCTTAGAAAATAATGCCCGACTCCCGTAAAATTTGAAATTCACCCGAAAATATACGCGAGTTCTTGGAATCACACGAATTTTTCAGTTTATTTAGTTAATAACAATTTTTATGCATGAAAAGGAATTCATTGGAGAAATTCTATTGCAAAGTGTGGAATTATGATAAGTGCATTTTTTTCTCCGCCAGTTTTTCCTCGATTCCTCGAAATTGAAGGAAGATAACGATATTTTTATAGATACCTTTTTTGTAGCTCTAACCTTTTTCTATAAAAAATGTTTATATAAAAAATCCGCTAGATTCCTTCCATTCCGAATTAATGGCTAAAAACTGGTCTCGAGAAAAATACACTTTTCCCAGTTCGAATGGCAGAGTTGAAAAAATGAGTTTTCATTATTTATGTTTAATTTTCATTTGTTCCTTTAACAATTCCATACTAAATTGCTGTCAGACAATCTTTCCATACCGAAGTTGTATTCATCTTTTCCCATTTCCACCCGAATTTTCATTAGTCTTCCTTTCACACTGCAGTTCTAAATTGCTATAAAAATTCTCTTCACACAGCAGTTGCATTTACGTTTCCAATAATCCCCTAGAGAAGCTGTTAATTCTGTCCTGAATGATGGGCTGAGTTCCCAACAATAATTAATACGTGGCTAGCCCCCAGTGTTGTCTCTTGAAACTCCAGCTGACTCCCCACAAATAGCATTTCATCCCCAAAAGTCATTCGATTAAACTTCAACGCAGTCGAACAAACTGAATATTCCATTGACTTGTCATTCATTTGGCAGATAATTATGATTGATAAAAATTGTGGGTATTGACTCGTCAAATTGGCACTGACCATCAGTATCGTCTGATACATTGCTCCACAAACGTATTATCCAATATTCCTCGTTGCTGCAACGAGCTTTAGCCACAAATTGCCAATCACTTTGCTGCAATCTCTGGAATTAGGGTAGTTCCTCATGCAAGTGCGGTTCATATCGTAGCATCTTATCTTTAATGAAACAGGTACACCGAAACCTGTCGGCTCGGCAAAGTTTTATCAGAGTTCGCCCTGGATTTTCCACAACTTTCACGAGTACCTGTGATCATCACCTTTTTACTGTTTCCTCGGAGGAGGATATTCCGCTAAACGTCTCTGGAGGACACTTTGCTGGTGAAAATTCAATGAGAAACAAGTTTCGGGAAATCCTCTTCGAATATTCATGACGTGAAGGTACTCAGAGGAAATTGTTTGCTTTTTTTTTAATAGTCGGCATTGTGGCAATTATTTATAACTATTTTGCGGTTTCTAATGGGATTTGGTGATTTTTTTAAATAATTACAGTGGGGGTCGTACATTTTATTATGGTTTAAATTTTACGAGGAGATAATGCACAGAGAGGAATATTTATTTAGTTGAAAATATGGAATTCAAGTTCAGTTACTGATTATGGAATTATTTTTAATTATTCCAATGATAAGAATTCAATGAAATTTCAGTGATCGGAATTTTTAATTATGCGAATGTGATTTCTATTTCAATTAAAAATTATAATTGGGGGTTTCGT